ACCTGTGAAGGGTTAAGAAGCTCAGGTAACCTAGCTGGCACCTGACCAAAAGGACCAATAGGGGGACAAGATACTTTCAAATGGGGGGGGGAGGAAGGAGAAAGAGAGAAAGGCTTTGTTTTGTCTGTTCTTTGTCCTTGCCGGAGACAGATCAAGGAAGCAAGCAATCCAACTCCATTAGGATTAGTAAGTACTAGCGAGGAAATGTGTTAGCTTACTTTTATTTTGACTTGTGATTTTCTCTGTGCTGAGAGGGAGGTGTATTCCTGGTTTTCTTTTTTGTAACTTTAAAGTTTTGCCCAGAGGGAAATCCTCTGTGTTTTGAATCTGACTGCCCTGTGAGATTATCTTTCATTCTAATTTTACAGAGGTGCTTCTTTTAACCTTTTTCTTTCTAATAAATTTCTGTGTGGTTTTTTTTTTAAATCTGATTAGTTTTTTTAGACCACTAAAAAAACCAAAGGTTGGTTTGTGCTCATCTTGTTTATTCTCAAGCCTCCCCAGAAAAGGGGGTGAGGGCTTGGGGAAATATTAGGGGAAAGTAGGAACTCCAAGTGGTCCTTTCCCTGAGTTTTGTCTAATCACTTGATGGGGGCAGAGAAGGGAGAATTTGTGCCTTGGGGAGTTTTTAACTTAAGCTGGTAGAAATAAGCTTAGGGGGTCTTTCATGAGGGTCCCCACAGCTGTACCCTAGAGTTCAGAGTGGGGAGGGAACCCTGACAGGAGCCTACACAGGAAGGATGGGCTCCACCTAACCCAAAACAGAACCAGATTGCTGGCATGTATAATTAAAAAGATTGTGGAGGCGTTTTTAAACTAAGGGCTGGGGGAAAGCTGATGGGTGAGGAGGAACACACAGTCCAGACAGACACAGCCCTTAGGAGAGGATTTATTAAAGAGGATACTCCTCATTCTAGTAAAGAGGAGAGGATATAAAGTACTGTACATGTAGGAAGTGGAGAAAAAAAAAAGAAGAGTTCAACGAAAAAAAGTCCATCACAGTTACATCGCAGCAAGGCAGTCAACTAAATATTGCTTGTGTACAAATGCCAGAAGATGACATACTAAGAGGGGTGAACTTGAGTGCTTGGTATTAAATGAGGATATTGATATAATAGCCACCACAGAAATTTGATTGAATAATGTTAATCAGTGGGACACGGGAACACCAGGGTACAAAATATATAGGAATGACAGAGTAGGTCTCAGTGGTGGGGGAGTGACACTACATGTGAAAGAAAGCATAGAGTCAAATACAGCAAAAATCTTAAAAGAATCAAACTATACCATATAATTTCCATTGATAGAAATTCCATAGTTGAATACTAAGAGTGTAGCAGTAGGGATATACTACCGACCATCTGACCAGGGTGGTAATGGTGACTGTGAAATGATCAGGGAGATTAGAGAGGCCACAAAAACAGATCACCCAATCATAATCAGGGATTTCAACTACCCTGTTTTGACTGGGTATGTCCCCTCAGGATGGGAGGGAGAGAGAAATTTCTAGACACCATGAATGGCTGCTTCTTGAAGGAACTAGTCCTGGAACCCACAAGGGGAGAGGCAATTCTTGATTTAGTTCTAAATGGTGCACATGATCTGGTCCAAGAGGTGAATATAGCTGAACTGCTTGGTAATAGTGACCATAATGTAGTTAAATTTAACACCCTTGCACAGGGGTGGATTAGGGTTTTGTGGGGCCCAGGGCCAGAACAAGTGTCCTCCCCATCCCTTCCGAGCTCCTGCCGGGGAGTAGGGTTGGGGCATGGGGGCTTGGAGACTGGAGGATAGTTAATGTAACATCGATTTTTTAAAAAGGCTCCAAAGGCAGCCCTGGCAAATACAGGCTTGTAAGCCTAACTTCAGTACTAGGTAAATTGGTAGAAACTATAGTAAAGAACAGATCAGACACATAGATGAATACAATAAACTGGGGAAGAGACAACGTGGCTTTTGTAAAGGCAAATTGTGCCTCACCAATTTATTAGAATTCCTTGAAAGCATCAACAAACATGTGGTGGACAAGGGTGATCCAGTTGATACAGTGTACGTGGACTTTCAGAAAGTCTTTGACAAGGTCCCTCACCAAAGGCTCTTAAGCAAACTAAGCTGTCATGGGATAAGAGGGAAGGTCCTCTCATGGATCAGTAATTGGTTAAAATACAGGAAACAAGGGTAGGAATAAATGATCAGTTTTCAGAATGGAAACAGGTAAATAGCGGGCTCCCCAGGGATCTGTACTGGGACCTGTGGTGTTCAATACATTCATAAATGATCTGGAAAAGTGAATAAACAGGGAGGTGGCAAAGTTTGCAGACAATTCTAAATGACTCAAGATGCTTAAGAGCAAAGTTGACTGTGAAGAGCTACAAAGGGCTCTCACAAAATTGGGTGACTGGGCAACAAAATGGCAGATGAAACTCAATGCAAAGTAATTCATATTGGAAAACATAATCCCAACTACAGATACAAAATAAGAGAGTTTAAATTAGCTGTTACCACTCAAGAAAGATCTTGCAGTCAATGTAGATAGATCTCTGAAATCATCTGCTCAAAGTGCAGCAGCAGGCAAAAAAAGCTAACAGAATGTTAGCAATCATTAAGAAAGGGATACATAATAAAACAGAAAATATCATAATGCCACTATATAAATCCATGGTACACCCATACCTTGAATACTGCATTCAGGTCTGGTCGCCCCATCTCAAAAAAGTTATATTAGAATTGGAAAAAGTACAGAAAAGGGCAACAAAAATTATTAGGGGCGTAGAACAGCTTCCATACAATGAAAGATTGAAAACACTGGAACTGTTCATCTTAGAAAAGAGGTGAGTTCCCTCATGCCTGGGCTTCTAGCTATTCTGGGTGGATCTCTCTGCATCAGAATTTCAAAAGGTCTCATTTTTTGTCCTGATGCGGATGGGACAAAAAACAAACCAAAAAAAAACCTCCCAAACCCTTTGAAATCTCAAAATTATCACAAGACGGGAAAACGATTTCTCATCTAGCTCTACCTGAAAGGTCTACAAGCACCTACATGGGCAGGAGATTTCACATAGTAGTCAGGTCTTTAATTTAGTAGGCAAAAGTAGTGACAAAGTCCAACGCTGGAAGCTGAAGATAGATAAATTCAAGATGGAAATAAGATGCACAGGTTTAACGGTGAGGGGGATTAACCACTGGAACAATTTACCCAGGGACAGGGTGTGTTCTCCATCATTTGGAGATTTCAAGTCAGGACCAGATGTCTTTCTAAAAAATACCCTCCAGTTCAACCACAAGATATTGGGAATCTCTGGGTAAAATTCGCTGGCCTGTGTGATGCAGGTTGGACTAGATGGTTATAATGATGTCTTCTTTCTGAAGCAGGCTGTGCCGATGGCCTCCCCTGAACACTGACAGCTAATAAACCCACTCTCTTTTGTGTTGTTTTAAGGCAGGCATCTCCGACCAATGTGTCAGACACAATAAAAAAATAATAAGAGGCTAGGGAGAAATATTATTGCCTTGAATTGAAACAAAGTCTGTGAGGGGGAACTCTATTTTCTTTACAGATCCCACAGATGTGCCTTGTCTCTGTGTGTGTCAGCACCTGTCACACTAGATTTTCAGGTTTCAAAGTAGCAGCCGTGTTAGTCTGTATCCACAAAAAGAACAGGAGTACTTCTGGCACCTTAGAGACTAACAAATTTATTAGAGCATTAAGCTTTCGTGG